GGACTCTATGGAAAGCTTATTCAAAGGGCTATCCAACCCATGAACAATCCATCCAAGAAACACAACTTTTCTCAGGGAAAAAGGGCTCACACTCCAAAGGATACTCCACCGGACATAACCACATGAGGCTACCCAAACCTATAGGATTTGCCCACATCTCTCTTTGTTTAGGACTTGAGAATACTCACCACACTTGGCTAGACAAGCCCACCAAATGCACCTACATGCATATGAACTAATATGGCGCAAGATCATCCACATTCTCGCTTCATAGACCCCTCTTGATAGTACGGCGTCTATCTAGCAAATCCGGTCTACACCAAACACCAAGACCGGGAAAAGACTAAGAAAACATTCTTAGCTCCATTATACCTTTGCCTTGCGCCATCCAACTTGGGGTTAATGCTTGAGCCAAGATCAACACTTGTGACCATCCAGTTGAACCATATTTATGCCGAGGTCTTTACCATCCTTTGTCAAGACTTTATTCTCATCACAAGTTTGACTTCATTCTTGCCAACATGACGATGTCCTTGGCTTGGTGACCATTAACCCATGGTGTCATTCATTAGCCTCATTGTAGTGGGACCTATTCCTTTTCACATCTCAAAGGAGAACATTAGTCTCAACAAATCGGTTGTCATCCTTCACTTGATGACCAACCGGTTGCATATGAAAGATATAGATATGTTCGTTGAGTTTTCATTAACATCACAAGTGTCATATACTCGTATGCAAGCTCAAGTGCAAAGATCCGATATAAATAATAGGTGAACAACATGGATCTAGAACATGCACAATAAATGTATAGGATTTGCTCCCCCTAAATATATGCATACAAATAAATACAAGAGATGCAAGTGTATGCATAATTAGAGAATGACCAATTGGGGTTTATCCTATACACATAAAGAGAAGGCATATGTAGTAATAATGTAGACCAACATAAAACATATACCTTCATGATCTCCATGTTCTCAATGTAAATGAGACTAAATAAGATAAGACTCAAGTAAACATTAGTCTCACACTTATATATCAATAACATGGAAATCATATATATGAACCTATCAAAAAGTAGGAGATAAGAAGTGGTACATATCATTTTATCTCCATGCATTTCATCCTTGTCATGATTAAGGTCCATCACAAAAGAATGCATGTCTTCCACATCTCATTATCGGGAAATGACCTAGTAGACAACTTATGCAAAAGAGAGGTTAATCCCATAAACATCGGTTTATCATCTATCACCAACGTAACAATTATACGAATTGTTTAATCCAAGATCATTCAATCTTTTCTCTCTTTGGTGATGGATAATAACCCGATATAAACAAATAGAGAGATGAGATGAAAGATGTTTTCAAATCAAGATAGAAATCTTATAATAAACAAAATATAGAATAAGCTCCCCCTCAAGTGTACATACATATGGATATAAAGGAACACATACGCACATAATCAATCAGGATCAATGAGAGAGCTCACACTATATTTTGGATCCACAAGAGAGACCAAGTTAGAATATGTGAAGTTTAATACATACCTCCCATCATTTTTACTTTCATATCCAAATAAGACTAGTCAAAGAAAGGCTCATAAAAACGTTAGTCTCATATAATTAGATTTGTCATTAATCACCGAAACCAAATTAAGGCACTTGAACTTACAGCGGTCAGACCGGCCAGTCTGCGGTGGCGCGGTCTGACCGGCCGACGTTTTGTCGGTTTCAGTTTCGGGTTATTTATTTGGGTATTTGTGGATAATTATTGTTTATGAATTCTAGATGGATATTATGTGTGTGCTACCATGAGTCAAGTTGGTGAGAACTTGTGATCGAATATGGTTTCTTAGTTGATGCATGTGTAGGTGAATCTTGATGCCTCGGGAGGGTAGTGTCGATGATGGATCCAAAGTCAACTCAGGAGAAGATGACGTCAGGAAGATCAGGATATCATGCGGGATGCTTAGACTAAAGATCAATGCACGTGGTTGGTGAAGATTTTATATGGTATATGATAGAGATATTGTGTGCGTAATGGATGCAGGGTCGAAATTGGAGGGAGTCTATATTTGGTACAGTTGGAGTTTGTAAGGTTCGTTTTTTTGTATGGGAAGGTTTTCTAGGGGATTAGGACTTCTTGTACAACGTTGATTCGTGGTTTTAGGTTGCTTACCTCGGATATAAATAGAGAGGGTAGGTGTAGCCTTCCGATATCGATTTTGAGAGAGTTGAGTTTAGAGAAAAGTTAGGGTTTCGAGTTTAGTCGAGATTTTCGTAAGAAGTGTTGTTATTGTTGTACTTTGTAAACACAGAGAAGTAATAAAGCTTCAATCTACATTGAGAGATCTTCGATTTATGTTTGGTCGGGTTCGACAGTCCAACCGACGAGTCATCGGCGGATAGACTGATGGCATCAGCGCGGTCAGAATGGCAAATACGCGACGGTCAGACCGGCGGCGGCGACAGGCTACAGCGGCGCATAGGGCGGTCAGACCGAAGCGACTACACCTGCCATACTGGAGGTCATCGAGCGGTCAGACCAGCGCATCTACTCCGATCAGACAGATCACCATCAAATTTGAGCATAACTTTTAATTCCACTAAAAGTTCACCCTTTTAATTGGCTTAGTTCTTGTTGTTCGATCCTACGCTGATAAACAAGAGAAATAGATCAATATATTGAGTGAAAACAAATAAAATAGTTTATTGGAACAAATAAAATTAAAGAGGATAAAGGATCAAAATACCTCTTATTAATAGCACATTAGTATTGGTGGATTGGTAGGTAAGGGGCATTAAAGAAATAAAAATTTTCGATTTGTTAACCAAGGGTGGATAAGAAGATAAAAATTAATTTATTTAGAGTAAATTACACTTTGGACTACCTTTTCTAACCAATGTTTCAGTTTGGACTAGGGATAAGATGATATTTTCACTTTAGGCTAGATAAGTTTGCAAAAGGTTTCACCTTCAACCCCCTTCTTACCTCTCCAAACTCCAGGCTCTAGCTCGCTCTCTTGTCGACCTTATGTGACTGTGAGCATGGACATGTTGAGGTCAAGCTTGAACTTTCCGAAGGGCGGTATCAATACGGCAACCCGAAAGCTCGTTATCAAAGTGGTCTCTTCCGCTGTCAGATCAAAACGGGTAGGGATCGGCCCAGCCTAGAACAACTCGCTTCTCATAAAAACGAATCCCTTTGTGCCTGGAAGAATGTTGAAGTCTAGAGAGCGGAAGATATTTAAGTAAGGATGTTATGCCAGGTAGCATTCGGTACAAGAGTGAGACGGAGGTAGCTCGAGCCTAGCGGATTCTCCCCGTTACCTGGACCTGCCTCCCCCGCGGTCAAAACTCTCCTCTCCAGCCCCTCTGGCTGGGCCAGAAGCCTCGTCTCCTTTAACTGAGGACTGACTGCGCGGAGACGATTGAGCGTGGGTCCCTAACGATTTTATTTTAGGAGTGAAGCCTTGGCAAGCCCCAACGCTTGAACTTTAAGCAATTCAGCAAGCCCCAATGCCCGTGGAGATCATCAACCTTGAGCTTGGCCGTGGCCCCTGTACAGTCGTCGTGATGATGGTCAAGCTCACCAAGCTAGAGCTTGGGACAAAACGGGACGAATCAAAGCTCTCGAATGGCAGATAAAGGATGAAAACAATGAGCAGCGCTCAAGGGCCACGGGCCACGGCAGCGAAGCAGCTCCTGGCCCCCATGTTGGAACTGCTCGAGGACTGTGGCAGCCAGTGGCACTCCATTGCCATAGCAGCGAGAGTTGCACGATGATGGTTGCGCAGGAGCTGCTCGAGGATAGTGGCTGCATTCCAAGGCAACGGTAGGCGGCACTTCAGAAGGCTATGCTTGAGTTTGGCTAGTTCATCAACTTGAGAAGAAAGAGGAGAGAAGATAGAAAAGAAGATCCAAATTGAAATAATTTGCAAAGTTATCTAGTCCAATGTGAAAATGATGTCTTGTCCCTAGCCCAAATTGCATCTTTGGTAAAAAGAGGTGGCCCAAAGTACAGTTTACTCATTTATTTAAGAACAAAGTTTAAATTTCAAAAATTAATTTATTTTAGGAGGGATGGGAGTACCCGCGTTGGCTTCACAAATAGCCATACCCCGACGATTCTGGGCATGTCGCTTTGCTTCGTCCGCAGCGGGGGCAGAACGGTCACTTCCGCCTGGACACCCTTTCCCAAGGGAATCTGCACACGATTGCACGAGGCCCCTGCAGCCGGTCTGCGCATGGAATGACCACCCAACACAAAAGTCGTCCGATTGCACGTTCTCTCGCTCTTGTCCTGTTGCACAACTGTTGAGATTTTTCACAGTTTCACTTTCACAGGTCACACCGTCACAGCTACTGTAACTGCTTACGCATCGCTCGGACCAGCAGCACAAAAAAGTTAAAACAATGGAGCGAGCGAGAGAGGTGATTTCAAAATGGGGTACCGTCCAGGAGGGAAGTAAAAGCTTTTTGATAAAGCAAGAATTCACATATGCTGCAACCTAACGTGGCGTCCACAGTGTGCAGTGCTACAAAATTGAGCGAATATGCATGTCTCCGTAGGCTTTATGGAAGAAAAAAGACCAATAGCAGTGCCAGTTGGTGATAACACAGTCACAGCCCACAATGTCTGATGTCAGACGACTCCGTCCAATGATCTCCGCTTTGCAAAAATGCAAATTTCAACTCGCTGTTTTCAACACAACAACAAGGGTGTGCTCGGCACCCTTTTTCCCAACTCATCTCTCTCGTTTTTCATGCACACGCTTTTTAAACTATTAAACGGTGTATTTTTTTAAAAAAAATTCTATATACAAGTTGCTTAAAAATCATATTAATCCATTTTTTAAAAAAATAATAAATATTTAATTAATCGTGTGCTAATGAACTGCTCTGTTTTTCGTGTTACTGTTCCGGATTTGGAACAAGCATATGCGAACACACCCTAAGTGCACCAATGAGCTTGTCAAGACTAAAACAACCTGTTCCAGTAAAAAAAACAGACTAAAACACCTGTTGATTTTCTTTTTGAAAGGGTAAAACCTCTTCCTGCAGTCTGTGGCTGCTCAAAAATTCCTGTGGTACGACACAAAAAGGTTGTATTTCATAGATATAATGCAAATAAGCGGTGACGTACTGACGTCCTACCACGAAAACAATATGCAACTGGACAAAACTGTATGGTCTTGGGCAAAACTGTACCGAAATGGCATTCTTCTTCCTCTACGTTGGTTGCCATTACCCCACTGTCCATCCACGCTCTGCAAGCACTTCACGAACCCGTGCCGCCACATCAATGGCATCGTTCAGGGGAGGGTAGCTCCAGTTGTCTGACATCTATGGAGAAAAAAGAAGGGTGATAATTCGTCCCTAAGATAATTATATCTTCATATTGAGTATTTTCAAAACTTTCATCACGGTGAAACAGATGGATAATTATCTTAATTACATTGAATGACCTCCTTTGGTCATTCCGGCGAAAAAAGAAACAGATGGATAACAGAAACGATTGCATCAGAAAAGACTCAACATCGCCTACTCGGGAAAATGAAGCACGTGTGGGAGGGGGCAATTGAAATAACCAGGACTGTATAAAACCTCAATTGATCCACTATACGTGAATATTTAGCGAACTTACATCTTCTAGTCCAGTGAAAGGGCGGACAGCACCTCTTTCATGCAGCCTGTTGTGAAAATCCGAGAATTTCCACCTGCAGTGCTCAGTTCCAACAACATAAACAGGTTTCCTGTAAATAGAAATGTTAGGAAGGTCGGTTATACAAATAAAAAAAATAGTGAAAAGATACAGATGAATAATATAAGCTCACCCAGTGCTACATGCCTCACTTAGCATACTAATTGAGTCTGCTGTTATGACAAAAGCATCAGCCCATGCAAGATGCCCAAGGTGTGGGTTGGGTCCTGCATCAAGAAAACTGGCTGAGAAAACTTTCGTAGAGCACATAAAGATGAGTACATCAGACATGTCTCATTTTAGGCTTTTGACAACTACCTTCACCATTCCAAATATAAACCTTAGGGTGTGTACTGAACTCTTTCAATATAAGATCAGACACCTGCCAACAAATGATTTAGAAATTTAAGTACTGGCACCTACTAAGAAAAAATGGACAATTCAAGGTCCTACCTTATGTGGTGTTCTTCTGGAAAATGAAACCCTGACACTTCCACAGGTCTTCAGAACATTGTGTAGTGAGCTTATCAACTTCTTGGCAAGGCCTACATCGTAATTACAGTTTCCTGGCCATTGAAAATATCACATGTGTTAAATCTATATAACCATGAAAGCAGAAAAGGCTCAGCATATGAGTTCAAAGTTCAAAAAAAGTCTCAAAAAACTAAAATATGTGAAGGAATAACCTTTTTTTCTGAACATCAAGTTGAAAATTCTGAACAAGACAAAAAAAACTTGAATAAACAAAAAAGCATATGAAATGCAAGGGTTTGCATGGATGAGAACACAGAAGGTGTGAGACTGATTTCTTTCTTCTGCTCCCAAGCATTCAATCAATATATGCAAGCTAAATATGTATATAACAGCAATATCTCATGCTACGTTCAAAATTTTGAAAGAGGGATTAGAAGAAAGGTTTGTGAGAAAACTGCAGCTTCTCCATTTTAGTTTGGAAGCTTTAGCTCCATAACACAAACTAAAAGAAAATAAACATTTTTTAGCTTGACATGTTCATGTAAATGTTTGTATTTGACACCTTTTGCATTAGCAATGCTACAAGTCAATAGAGAAAGAGATATCAAAATTCCTTGTTACAACTAACAGACACAAGCAGATCCATTTGACGCTGCCATTGTTCTCATGTCCAATGAACAGTAAGAACTAACTTATGTAAAATTGCATATATCAGGAAGCTCATATCACATAGGTAGGCTGCAGGCAAGCAGACAGGAAGGGAGGGAGAGAGGGATGGATTTACTTGTTGGTCCTCCAATGTTCACTACAACCAATGGCTTTGGTGAGTTAGCAAGTTCATCATGCCAATCAGAAGCAGCAGTGCGTAATGCAGCAGAATCTGCTTGGTGAAGTGCGCCAACAGTAAGGACCTGGCTTTCCAATTTTCAGGGTTCAGAATTGAGACAGTTGCTACGCTATGAACACATACAAGAGATTGTTGCTTGCAGAAAAGAAAACACATATCACATTTGGCCCAGGTGGTTCTCGTGCAGTAATCCATCTCCAGAGAAGGTGAGGGAATTCCCGTTGTCCTCTTGTAGTCAAAGCATAGTAATCATGACGAGGAGTTACCACCAAATCAAACCTATCAAGGCGATACCTGGGATGTTGTATCTGAAATGCAACAAATACGATGTAAAGCTAATATCCACATGACAAAGTGGATAATGATTCATAACCCAAGTTGAATAACAAGTAACCAAACAAGTAAGTGATGCATTCCTTACAGAATTCTACCTGTATGACAAAGACATTATCTGGAGCCAAACACCTTATTGAACTTGCATATGATATGGTATCTCGTCCACAAGCGACAACTAGTGCCAGGCCTTCTCTGAAGAAACACAAAATTTGAGGAAGCAGTGCAGGGTAAATAGTATGTCAAGAAATTTCGATAACTTAGAAATCATAGACAATGTTTAGGCTGCTCTACAATTGCATAGCAATATTCATTGGATAGAAGTCCAGAGCTATGTTCTAAGAAGATGCCTATTTCACATCCAAGAAAAACACTTATTTCCCATGTTCTTACTAGAATTATGTCATCAACATTCAAGGATACCACATCTACAATCCATGGTAATGATATCAACAGAACATATTCTTAAAATCTTTCAGGGGCAACATGTGCTCAGAATGAAAATGTTCAGTTCTGTTTTATTCCAGAGCTGCCAAGCTACCAAGCATATAACAGGGATTATGGCGACTAAACTATGGGCAAGCTATATAAAAGAGATCATCATCACAGAAGTTGTGGAATGGACTTCAAGCTTAATATGAAATAGTGCACAAACAGCACAGCACCAATATAAGCGATGGGATCTTACTTCTCAAAGGTATCATTGACCATGGTAACTATCCTTTTGGTATCTGCTTCTAGGACAGAAGATAATCCAAGGGACTGGCCATTACAGACAGTATATTGAGCCATTTTTGCCCCTTGAAATAGTGTTGCAAATTTGTTACTAGAAAACATCTGTCTGAGTACTTGGTCCACTAACTTATGCAAGGAGATCGGGAGGAAGTGCAGCCACTTGTTGATTCCTCCTGTTGGCCTTATAGCACGCTGCAAGACCAGAAACAAGTTCACAAAGTAAAGCTAAGGTTCCGTAAGAACTAAAAAACTGCCTTACGAACAGAGGTTAGCGGCATAGTTATCTGAATTTATAAATAAATAATGTCTACCCTCCATTTGAACAGGTTATGAATAAAAGGATTTATATGGTTTCTACCACAACAATGTACTACTTGCTAGTTGCTGCAACCTCCACAAATGCAGTGAATGCAAATAACAAATTACAGGACAACAATTAATTGGTAGTCTGGTACTGCATCTAGCAATCATAAAAGTTGATAAGCCATTTCAGAGTAAACTTGAGATTGGAGTTTAAATTGCACACGCCCCTCATCTGCAGCACATGGCAAAGCAAAACCACTTTAGCATATTGAATTATTGAAGCAATTCATAAAGATAACACCAATACATACCGAATAGGCGAATACATGCCAACAGAAATTATAGGATTGATTTCCCATTCTCTGCCACTATCAAATGCAGAGTTGTAGACTTGACCCATGGTAATTAGGCACAGATCATGGTAAGTGGTACTAACAATTAACAAACAGCCCCAAATCCTAGAGGCACATCTCTTACTTTACTTACTGGGTAAAAAGCAAATCCAATGTTGCATCAGAAATATAAAGGACAATCACTAGTTAATCATTAAGTCCTACGCAAACTGCCACCTGACATCAGTAACACAGGATCCACTAATGCAGTTGCGGACTAAACACAAACAATCAAATCCGCAGCTCCAGTGACCAACGATTTTATGACCCTGTCACCAAAAGTTGGCAGGAAAAATGATCAGGGGAGGCAGGGTTTACGTAAAGCGTGAGGCGGTCGGCGAGGCCGAGGGCGCGGAGGAGGCCGAGGCACTGGTTCTCGGCGCCCGCGCAGCCGTTCCCGATGACGACGGCGCGCCGCACGGAGCCGCGGGCCCCTGTGCCGCCCGCGAAGATCTCCGGCGCGCCCGCCGGCCCGCCCCCGCCCCCGCCCAGCGGCTCCATCGGCCGCGTCGCCCAAAATGGGAGGAGGTGGAGGAGAGGAGGCAGCTATGGCGCCGCGCTTGCTTGGGTTTTGGGAACTCTGCAGGCGGGAGGCGGACGGATCAGCGAGGAGGAGCGGGGCGCGCAGCCATGTGAATCGGCGCGAGCCAGTCTTGCGAAACAAGTTTGCTTTTGCATTACTTTTTTTTTCTCTCTCTCTTTTTCCCACCTCCTCGATCTTCTCACTCCACTCGACGACTCTCGAGCGTTGCCCGGCGGGAGGGCGGAGCGGAGGAGACGGGGAGTCGGGGGAGCGGAGGCGGCCGCCGCCGCCGTGGGGAGTGAGGTGGGCTCGGTGGTGGGCCGATCTTGTGTTAGATTTCCTAACCAGGCCGGCCCATTATGAGGTGCAAAGCCACTGATTTGAGCCTTGGATTCAGTTAGCTCTGAATCGAGAGCTTTTGGTGATGTTAATTTCACGCTTCAATTGCGCTTGTGGCTAAATGAGATGTGATCAAATGTCGACCGATGTTTAGACTTGAAGCACTAGGAAAATGATTAGTTGAAGAGGAGAGGTCGATGCATCGCCTTCTGACGTGACTAGCAGGAGCCGAGATGGAAATCGAGTCACATCGATAGGTAGCCATGCATCTGGCAGTTCTTCAGTACTAGTAGGCATTAGCTCTGGGCAAGGTTGCATTATTTATCCTAGAAAGCAGCTTAGCAACAAAGAGGTGTAATATGAAACTATGAACTGCCATTGCTTCAGGTAGATATCGATAGAATTCTTGTGGTGAGCGGCGAAAGAAAATGTGTGATGCAGTGCAGTTAGTTCTCATTGAATGGAGCAACCAGACAGTAAATTCATGCCCAGCAGCAGCCCGGCACAGCCCCACAGACAGAATGGCACGCAGCAAGGCGTTGCAAATTCAATTGGTTCAATTGGGTTTTATCCATTTGATCCTTGAATTGGCACGCTGAATAGAGTCCAGCTATTGACTAAAGCACCGCACCCACAAATCAGCAATTGACAAGGGGAAAAGAAGGGCGCAAAGGAATAAAGCAAAATCTAGCCAGAAAAGAGCAACAGAACCAACTTTCCCCAACGGAGGAGCACTGAAAGTGGATGAAGTGATTCACAGTCGAAACCTAACCAAATTGCCTGAAAACTATATCTGATAAAGACATAAAGCATCAGGCCTAGCACCCATATCCTTTCTTTTGCTTTACTGTTGAACGTCAACAAGCAAAAACAAGGATTGCTCAACAGAATTCATGACTGTCGGGTACAAGATAATCACTGCACAACATATTATTTCAGTATAACGATCAGTCAGATTCACATTTGCTCAAATATCATTGTCTGTCAATAAACTATTATGGATTTTGCAAAACAATAGAAAATCTGAGATGCAATGCATGTACTCCATGATCCGAGGAACAGAAAATCTGAAATTCAATGTACTCCATGTAGTCCATGGTCGGAGGGACTTCGTAGTAGCTTCATTCTACTGTAGCATTATCAACAGCAGCCATAGGCCTTAATCTGCCACTAAAAGAGACTAGAGTAGAGGACACTAAAAACGCTAAGGTAAGTAGGACTATAACTAATACACATTAGGCGTTGAAGAAGACACAAGGAAAACAACATTAAATGATCCAATCGAGTTGTTAGTATTTATCCCTTTTGTTCAATAAGACAAAGTGGTTGCCATCATAGCACCAAAATTACTAAAAACTAAATATAACTACCACTACCAGTCAATGCTTCATTAAAGAAATCTACCAGTCATGGTGAACACCCAAATTCTAGTATGCCTACCGAGGATGTTACAACATTCAAGCATAGAGGAGTACTAAGATAAGTTCAGAAAACAGATTCAAGCACCAACAAACAACAGAAATTCTTACATGGAACAACAGAAACAATAATGCTTTGGAATGAAGGATGAAGTTGAATGGCCGGATGAACATGCTGCACTGCTATTCAGATGGCATCATCGAAAGCCACATATAATTATATTGGACATATGAATCGTATTGGTGGGGTATCATACATTGACCAAGAGAAATATGCAACTATCCAGGAAACAGTGGTAAAAAATAATGAATGAGTGAATCATGCATATCATAATGCACATCAGACGCAAGCCAAAAATAAAATACACTTGTGCATCAGAAATTGTATAATTGGGATATGAAGTCATGAAGACATCAATAAAAAAGAACAAAATTTTCTAAGAGATAACAACCATAGGTCTCAGACAATTATCAAGATAGATACACCTAACAGGTTAACAACCTTAAACAAAATTGCTCCTCCTGAATTACAGAGAGCTCCCAAACGCAGGACACCAGTTCTCATTACTGTTGAAACTCACAGTAATATCACACTCACATACACACGCACGCACACACCTCCAAGGGCACCAAAATTGCAAGCAGTTGCATTAAAAAAAAACCAACTCAATTTGTTGCCTTACCATCTGGTTTTACTTCTCGATCTACACCAATAACCCACTAGAATTATACCCTAAAATGTAACCGATCTACGACACTGAGCATGCGGACCTGAACAAAAAGCCAGAGCCACATCACCTTTGCGGAATTCAGTCGAGGAAACCGGTTTGCCGGAGCACGGCGTCGCGCACCCGCCGCAGGTCACGGCCTTTGAGCGTGCGACCGGCGCCCTCGAGCATGGAGAACGGGGCGGCCGGGCCGGCCCCGCCGGCGGACGCGCGCGCGACCATCTCGTGCGGGGGCAGCATGGCGGCGTCGCCGTTCCGGAGGAAGTCGTCGTCGTCGAGCTCGTCCCACTTGAACATCTCCTGCCTCCGGGGCGGGCGGACGGGCACCTTCACCGGAGCCGACTGGTGGTACGGCGCCGCTGGCCCGGCGCTCTTCGGCCTCGGGGTCATCGGGATGGCCCGGGCGGCAGAGGTCGGGGACTGGGTTGGCGACAACGAGCCGCCGCCGCCGGACGCCGAGGCGGCGGCGGCCGCGATGGTCGCCTTGCGACGGAGCAGCGTCCCCGCGGAAGCCGCGGCGGCAGCGGCCGCGCCCCCTCCTCCCCCACCGCCACGGCGGAGCAGGAGCCTCTTGTCCCCCTCGTGCAACGCGGCGAGGAGCCCGACCTGCCCCTGCGGCACCCGGCTCGGGCTCCCGGGCCCCTCCCCCGGCCGCGCGCTCGAGGGCGGCGCGGCGGGGGAGGACGAGAACAGGAAGTCGTCCTCATGGAGCTCATCCCCTGCCACGAACGACGGCTCCGTCGGGGACGACGACGGCGACGCGAACATCCCGATGAACCGCTCGCTCGCCGGCGACCGTCGCGGCCTGTACTCGTCCATGGTCAGTCACAACGGCGGCGCATGCAGCCAGGGGCCAGGCGTAGCCTCTCCTCCCTCGTCCGCGCAGCAGGAGCGCGCGACGTGGTGTGGGGGGGAAGGAGGCGAGATGAAAGAGAAGGAGGGGCAAGGCTTTGTGGGGGTTTGGCTTTTATGGGGGAGAGGCGAGACGAGACGAGACCCACCACCGGCGAGGGGAGAGGCGGCGGCTAGATGAGAGGAGAGAGGCTGACGGGGTGGGGCCCACCGCCTTCGGTTCTCAACCTCGCTTCCTTCCTCGGAAGGCTTCTGGCACGTATGGGGGTGGACGTGGCGGGTGCGTGCGAGACGAGACGAGAGGGGAGAGATAAGGGAGGAGGGGGAGGGGGGGGGGGGGGCGGTTGAATCGGTCAGGTGGACGCCCCACTGGATACTGTTCATTCTGGGTGGGGTTGGATCAGGTTTTCCGCTGCGTGTGTGTATCGTGTAATTCGAATTCGGCGTGCTCGTGCTGGACCTGGACGTGAGGGGTCGGGTCAGTTCGGATGGGTTTGAGCGGCGAAGGCGCGGCAGCGCCGGTGCGTACGAGTTGAGCCGAGTTCAACTCTGGTGGTTGTTTATAGCATGTTATCCGTCCCACAAAAAACCAATTTAGATAAATATAAGATACTAAGAGAGTACTCCAGACTCTAGTACACTAGTACGAGCGGAGGTATAGGATAAGTGATTGCTAAATTTAGAGATATGGATAATGCATGTACACCAGAGCCGATGGATGGAAGATGCAAGGGACCGGGTTAATTGCCACAGTGTTAAGATAAGGATTATCCAGTTAGAATGTATCTCTGTGAATGCCATGACTTATAATTTTAAGTCTAGATCAAGCATACCATCACGGTCATATTTCAAGTGTATATCATCTAGCCCACACACATAACAACTACTACTCCTACATGATATCCGATTTGATCTAATACATGGGGGATGATTGGAAGACAAGATCCGTTGCTTTGATATTGGTAGTTTTATTTTTCTTTTTTATTTTTATAAACTTATTCTAAAATTTAGAAAGTGTGATGTTACTGTTGGACCATATTATCGCACTATAGCAAGAATGACGTGATAGGAGTGACCATGCAGTTGGATAGAGTTGGTGGAGCGGCCCTCTAGCCTAATGATAACCCAATGATAGAATTAAAGATATAGATAACAACATGAGTCATGCAACCGAAGACTAGCCGTTTTGGAGTTTATAGATAGATGAGAACAATCCAATGCAACTTGCTATAAAGTTAGGAGTAATGTCATAATGGTATACGTCCACTCACAATAATTTTTTCGCATAAAAATAAAAGGAGAACAATGAGATAATCAACTTAAAATGGCTTTAGAGTAAGGGTTCCAAAATGCTAAAATAATCGCTAGGTTATCAGCCTTTATCCAAACGAACATGTTTAGAAAACATACTGGCCAAGTTCTAAAACACAAACTAAATTTTAATTTTTGGTATAATTTAATCATTTTTACCCCTTTTTTTGGTAACCACTCGATTATTGTAGTTTTCTAGTGTTGATTGTATTTTGAAACTGAACACTGCTATACGTATTAAAATTTTCTTACAAAACTCTTACTAACAAATTTTTCAACTGTTTGATTTAACTAGATGAAAGTTTAAAAAAAATCTAGATTTACTTATAGCTTGCCACATTAGACTTTGTAAACATTTTGTAAGAAAATTTAGTACGTATAGACTTTTCCTTTGAAACCTGCTCCTGTGTATCAACTATCAAACCCCAAATTACAACCTAGAGAATTCTAAGATGCTCCATTTGAAGTGGTTAATCGTATTGTGCATTTCGTGGTAGCGTACTAGCATTTGATTTCAAAATAGGAATCCACCCTCAAACACATTACAGATCTTTGCTCCCTTCGTCATTCACATTTTGGAATCCAAGCGTGTTGTCAAGCTTCGTTGTTAGTGGCTCATGACGGCTCTTCGCCGGAATGCAGCCTCAAATCAAGCAAGAGAGCGGGTTGAGCAGGGCTAGACCTTATTCGTTAGATCTCCAAGTCCATTTGGTGCCTGCCTCTTGTTTTTTTAGTGCGATGGCGTTGTTGTGAGCGATCCTGGCGCCAGTGCTCGATGATCATCAGGAGATTAAAGCAAGGGCATGTTAATGTGATGAAGTGATATTTCTGACTTTCTGTGGTGGTTAATAATTCCCCCCATTCTGACTCCAAGCGAAGACACGTACCCGAACAGAAACTGATCAGACTCGGCTTGGATCAAAGTTCCAGTTTTTAACATACTCCAATTAATTTTAGAAAGTGTGATATCGATGTTGCTGTTGGACCATATTATCTCACTATAGCAAGAATGACGTGATAGGAGTGATAGAAGTAGCCGGTTACCATGCAGTTGGATAGAGTTGGTGGAGCGGCCCTCAAGCCTAATGATAACCCAGTGATAGAATGAGAGATATAGATAACAACATGAGTCATGCAACTGAAGACTAGCCGTTTTGGAGTTTATAGATAGATGATATGAGAACAATCCAATGCAACTTGCTATAAAGTTAGAAGTAGCATCATAATGGTATACGTCCACTCACATTAATTTTTTGCGTAAAAATAAAATGAGAACAACAAGATAATCAACTTAAAATGGTTTTAGAGTAAGGGTTCCAAAATGCTAAATAATCGCTAGGTTATCAACCTTTATCCAAACGAACATGTTTAGAAACCATACCGGCCCATACTGGCTAAGTTCTAAAACACGGTCTGAAATTTAAATTTTGGTATAATTTATTTTTTTTACCCGTTTTGTTGGTAACCACTCGATTATTATAGTTTTCTAGTGTTGATTAATTGTATTTTGAAACCGAGCACTGTTATATGTATTAAAATTTTCTTACAAAACTCTTACTAACAAATTTCTCTACCGTTTGATTTAACTAGATGGAAGTTAAAAAAAAATCTAGATTTACTTATATCTTGCCACATTAGAGTTTGTAAATATTTTGTAAGAAAATTTAGTATGTATAGACTTTTCCTTTGAAACCTACTCTTCTGTATCAACTATCAAAAACCCCAAATTACAACCTAGAGAATTATAATATGCTCCATTTGGAGTGGTTAATTGTATTGGGAATTTCGTGGTAGCGTACTAGCATTTGACTTCAAAATAGGAATCCACCCTCAAACACATTACAGATCTTTGCTCCCTTCGTCAATCACATCTTGGAATCCAAGCGTGTTGTCAAGCTTCGTCGTCGTTAGTGGCTCATGACAGCTCTTCGTCGGAATGCAACCTCAAATCAAGCAAGAGAGTGGGTTGAGCAGGGTGCGCTAGACCTTATTCGTTAGATCTCCAGGTCCATTTGGTGCCTGCCTCTTGTTTTTTTTAGTGCGATGGCGTTGTTGTGAGTGATCCTGGCGCCGGTGCTCGATGATCATCAGGAGATTAAAGCAAGGGCATGTTAATGTGACGAAGTGAGAGGCCTGTTCAGATTGTAAGCAAAATAAACCTTATGAAGTTTTGACAAGATAGAAATATTATTAAAATTTTGATAGGATTTTTTTTATGTATTTACCAAATTTGGCAACAAACTAAATGTAGACAATTTTTTTAGCAACTTAGCTTAAGAAAAAGGTATGGTTAAAAATGGTATTAAAATGAACAGACCCGATACTTCTGACTTTGTGTGGTGCTTAATAATTTCCCCTTTTCTGACTCCAAGCGAAGAAACGTACCCGAACAGAAACTGATCAAACTCAGAGTGGCTTGGATCAAAGTTCCAGTTTTTAACATACACTCCAATTAAACGGATCAAACTCAAACCAAACGTACGATCAGCCTAGAGATAAACCGGTTGTGGGACAATCATTTCGACTGGGTGGACATGGCAGATTGGCAGTATGGCACTAGCTCCGAGGATAACACATTCATCAGATTCAGAGGAAGCAGAATCTAATCCTCTCCTCCAAGCCTCGTTCCCTTGTCCGGTTGTCCCCCGCACTCACTCCACCCCCCACCGCCGCGCGCTACGTCACGCTTCGCTGTCTCGCGCGGTCCACCCTTTTCCCGACGGCGACGTCTCGGTCTCTCAGGGCCCCGGCCGGCCGTCCTCTCCTCCGCCGTTGGATCGGGCTCCGACGGCCCCCGGCCCCCGCACCGGCGCCAGCGCCGCAAGATGACGGCGTTTTGCAGGCCGCATATGCAGGCATGCAGCCGCTGCTGCGCAGCCACACGTGGGGTGTTGTTGTTTTAGCTGCGGCTGCGGCTGGGCGCGACGAGGTTAATTTGCTGGGTGTGCGTCCTTTTTTTGTACTGACGTCTTACCTGACAGCCTCCACGCCCTCCATTCGTTGCGTACCGTAGCGTAGAGACGTAGTACTAGAGTAGCACAGCAGAAAAAAAAAAAACAAAACAGCAACACTCGCTAGTACTACGTAGGAGTAGTATAACGTGCGCTAAAAATGACACAGTGACCTTAGTCGTAGGCGTAAATTAAACAGCACCAGTATAGTTACCTATTACTACCTCCCTACCTCCCTTTTATGTTATAAAACTTTCTAACATTGTCTATATTCATATAGATGTTAATGAATTTAGACACATACATATATCTACATTGATTAATTAACATATATATATATATATATATATATATATATATATATATGTATATATATGTATGTATACATATATGTGTGTGAATGTGAGCAATACTAAAAAGTTTTATAATATGAAACGGAGGAAGTACCATTCATTACGTAGGCTTAAATTTATTTTCTTCAGTGGAAGAAAGAAAACGTGTATTTTCCTTAGGGAAATGTCAAGAAATGTTGCTCTGCCTGTATATGGTGAGTGTACACTATATGCATTATTTATTCTTTATGATTATTCTTGCACGTGATTTTTGTATGCTCGAACGTACTCAATTCGTTTCATTAAAAAAACTAATCTAGTATGGGATGTGACACATCCTACTATAAATCTAGATATATCATTGTACTAGGATGTATCACATTCAATACTAATTTTGTTTTTTTTTAACAGAGCGAGTATGTATTTCAAATCAAATGTCAGACGTGTGTTATTTTGCAAGGTACTCCTACGTGATTGGCAACAGCGACATACGATTATTCTGTCCAAGCATGATTTGTCAGGTACTAGTATTAATTATACAAGCTAAGCCATGCCTTTGTTGAGTTGCATCATGACAGGTTTGCCAGGTGTGGGATCAGAAAGCTGGATGACAAAAAGGCCTTTCTCGGCTCTCGCATTCGCGTTGTATTCATGGGCCGGTAGATAAGCCGTGAAAGAAATTGCGCTGAAAGATGCAGAGATACGCCTCGCACCATTTCCTAGCTACAAAAATACGTTCTCAGTACACTGTTTGTTGCTTTTTCTTAACACATAATCTTTCTTTAGGATTCGTCTATCTGGTCGTTAGCAGACATCGGATGAATTAGGGGATAAGTTTATGGATTTATATTTTGCTTGTGTTGACAGACTGTATTTAGCATATTTATATATGCGCCAAAAATCCTAGGAGGAACTAGGTATTTTTGTCTGGTCGGAAAGGTACTCGAGCTAAATTAGATATTGGTTTAGGGTTTAATTCTGTTATGTGCTGGAAATGTACACAGGAGGTGTGTCCGTGTGTGTGATAAAGTTATGGTTGCAAGTCACCGTGTCCAAACATAAGATACGGAGTATATAGTGATACACAATTTTATTGTTGTGTTTACGTTGTGTTCTTTGTGCGTGTGGTAAAAGCACTACTCGTTGATGCGTGAGTGTGGTGTGTGTACGCGTCTTTTAATTAAGCTAGAAAAGAGATTAGTGCCTCCTGCGTTTCTAGAGTATATAAGTTAACCCCTACAAAAATCATACGAGGTCCTATAAAATTCGTGTCCTTTTTCAGTAAGCTGGACCGAATCTGCCCAAATAAACATCTGCATACATATACAGGATAACAATGTCGCTGCAGACGTAGCAACTCAAATTGATATCTTGAGCTTGATACGTCCGTGAACGACAATCACCGAACACAGAATCTCAATGATTGCAAGTAGGTAATCGAAGCTAGCTAATGCACCATACACGGTCTGGATTAAATTGTGTAAGCTTTCCCCGCTAATCTCTGTTTATTTTAACCTGTCCCAATCGTGTGGAGTATGTGCTCCATGTGCTACCTAGACTAAAGAACGTTGGTTTTGGATTGATTGGAGGGACCATTTTAATTTTTGAGCCCCAGATTAATGCGGAGACCAGTTGCAAAGCTGCGGCTGAGTGCAACCGACTGTAGAGACATCGGTATCAAATGGTAATAACACAATGTCAGTTGTTCAGTTGGCATCCATACCCCGCTGCCCATTTTATTGCAAAAGGGGTAGCTTTTCACCAAGCTAAGAAATAACGTAAAGTACTCCGCATGAGTGCATCGAATGAAAATACCATTTGGTGTCACCTGTGGCAAATTATGAGTGGTGCATTAGAGTATTATACACGAAAAGTGAAAAGATAATGCAGCTGCGACAGTTTGGCCGAGTGGTCTAAGGCGCCAGATTTAGGCTCTGGTCCGTAAGGGCGTGGGTTCAAATCCCACAGCTGTCAAATTTTTTGTTTTACTTTCTCTTGTTTTTAAAGGTGTTGATTTTTTTATTCTCACTTTATCTCCCATTATTTTATTTTATACTTTCTCTTATTGTTTGTCAACGAGTGTTTTTTTTCGCACTTTTTTTTATCTCCCGTTGTGATCACACATTTACACAATTTTGAGCCTTAATATTGCTACGAAAGGAACCTTTTGTTTTGTATATACTGCCTTGTTGATACACTAGTTACTTATAGGATTAAGATGCACCCCTTGTAATAGTAGTATTGTCTATATCATAAATAAATTATACCGACAGACCTTAAACTTGTAAGTAAGTTTCACCTATATCCACGAATTTGCAAATTACGTATTGAGATCCCTAAACTTGATTTATTCTTATATCATCCTAGTTTAAATCCTCTTCTGACCTAGTCTTGCTCACGTGAGTGACATGCCACTTGGAAGATAACATGGCAAAATTTTTCCCTTTTCCTTCCCCTTTTTCCCCCTTCCCTTCTTCTTTTCTCTTCTTCCCCTCCACCGCTGGATGCACTAGTGGCAACGGCAGACGAGAGAAAGATGGTGCCGACCACCGGAAAAAGAGCCGCCGACGACAGAGTTGGCTCGACGATGGAGCAGAGGTTCAAGGTCAGAGGTGACAACGGTCACCGTGAGCTCCCCACTCTCTCCCTTCTCTCCACCTCGAGCTCCACTTGATGGCGATTAAGAGCTCCTCCTCTGTCATGCTCATGGTGTTGTCCGTGATTGATGGAAGGAAGGGGGAAGAGGGGAGGAAGGAAAATGTGCTGACGAGTGGACCTTTAGCAACTTCTTTTTTTTACTATAATGCCCGTAAGCACCATATCGAATAAATCCCATGTTAACGTGCCACAAAAAGTGTCATGTATAATTCAAAAAAAGGCAATCCAAACCATCAATGATGATAACCTGGTTGGTTTTATATATTAGTTGTGGTAGCCTCCATTTTGAATTTTGTGATTTTGTGGTTGACAGATGCGAACAAGACTTGGCCATAGGGAGGCAAATTAGACTACTATTTGCTTTCTTAGTTTTAGTTAAAAGCCCCTTCCTCCCAATATGCGGCCCGCATGGGAAATCCTCACACTCGGCCCAATAGAACGGCCATTATGGCCAGTGCAGCCCACCCGAGGGTTTATATGCGTGCACGCACTCGGCCATTCACACCTCCTGCCGGTCTCCTCCGAACCCTAGCCTGCTTCTCCTCCTCCTCCCCGCCGCCGCCGCCGCGAGCACAGACGACGCAGCCATGGTAATGCATCCCATTTCTGATCTACGCTTCTCCGGCGTATTGCCTATTCGAAGGTCTCGTTTGCTCACCGGGAATGCGTGCCGCCGCCGCCGCTGTTTGTGCTTGGTGCAGTCCGGGAGGAAGAAGACGCGAGAGCCCAAGGAGGAGAACGTGACGCTCGGCCCCACGGTCCGCGAGGGCGAGTACGTCTTCGGCGTCGCGCACATCTTCGCGTCGTTCAACGACACCTTCATCGTGAGATCCCGAGACCTTTGTTTCTGTTTTTGCGCCTAATTTATGTTAAGGCGTGGTGTGTTGTGCTCGTTGCTATGGCGGTCTCATACTTGGGTTTCGTCCTTGCAGCACGTGACGGATCTGTCCGGCAGGGAGACGCTCGTCCGCATCACCGGTAATTTCCCTACTTGAGAACAATGCTTATTATTGTTAAAGTTTAGTGTATTTTTGGGCCAATCGCATTGTGAAGTTTATTAATCTACTACTATCGAATGAGTGAATTGGAATGGTGCTGTTGTTGCATCTAACAGCGGTAATATAATACATTGTAGTAGTCAATAGAAATGTGTGGCTGTTATGTATCGCGGCTGCTGGGTAAATCGAGGTTAAGTTCTTATGGGCATGTTTCCAAGCAGAGCAGGTTAAGCTAGCAAAATGTTATTTGTTTGACCCTCAGATTGATTTGATCGAATGAAAACATGTTACTTTCGACTGACCTGGTCATTTGGCCAGTTGTGTTTTATTATGGTATATGTTCCATGTTCAACATCTGTGATGTTTGTTATAAACATCCATCATGCATTGTTGTTCAGAGATAGGAGTATATTCTATTGTAAAAAAATGTATTGAAGCAGAGGATAATCATGCATGTTAACTGCATATGAATTGATCTTTCCTTTTGGTTACTGGCCATGCAATTGTCTCATAAGTGTGGCCATTGAGGTCGCCTACGTTTTGTCATTTGTGAGCGTGTAGAAGTCATATCTGCGCAACGTGTTGCATTGCTTCTGTTCAGTTGTTTGCATTGCAAACCCTTGCACAATGAATTGTTGTGTTTGAGGTGAATACACTCTATGTTGGAGTAAGCCTCAGGAAGCCTTATTTATACTAAGTCCTAATTGCCCAATTCAATTTCGCATGGATTGGGGGGGTCAGCATCCCAGCTGACATCGGGTTCACCAAGGATCTTCAGTGCTCTCACAGTTTTCAGCAAAGTTGGCTGCAACCTCCATGTAGACTGTCTAGCCACATCTGTTCTTTAATCTGTTTGGTTGTTGACTTTATTATTTTATTTGTTAGCATGGCCCTTAAGATCGCCTCCCTTTTGTTCTGTGGGAGCGTGTCGAGTCATAGCCATGCAAGATTAACAATGATGGACCTGAGAGTTTTTCTCTGGAACTTCTTCTCTTCCCGCTTGTTCGTCAGGTGTTTCCATTGTGGCATTGGGTTTCCTGTGGTGTTTGGTTAGTATGGAGCCTCTGCTTTCTGCATTGCTCCTGCTGAGTCCTTCATTCTTGCAACTCTTTGCCACTTAAAAATGGAGGTTTCTACATGTTGGAAGGGAACATGTCATATTATTTTACAACTGCTTCTCTTTTTGTTTGAAGATTTTTTGTGTATTAGCTGTGCAATTTTCCATACCTTTTAGTTGCTATGAATTTATAATTATGGAGTTATGAATTTATAATTATGGAGTTATCTGAAGTTTCTCACTGGATGCAGCTCACTGCCCATTTGTTTTAGGGTGTTAATATTTTTTAATCTTCGTTGGGTTTTGGCATGAGAATTCATTGGTCACAAGTTTTTTTTTATCTTAGAACCACTTGTTATATCTTGCTAGGATTCATAATGTAATTAGTTTCTTTCAGTAATTGAGGACGGTGCATCAATATTGAACCAGTTGTATATATAACGTAATCGCGTTTATGTTTATAGATGCCTATAAAATTGTGATTTTATGCATTTTTATGATCCATGGTTGTCTTGCCATTTTGTATGCTCTGAGATCAGTAAGATGTTGATGTTCTATATAATTCATGGTTCATCAGACCATTTGAAATCTTATTCAAACTACGTGCAAATGCTTTGATCCAGTTTTTTTTAAAAGGAATATCTTGTAGATCTCTGCTGTTATAGTTACAAAATTGTATTTTGCAGGTGGCATGAAGGTGAAAGCTGACCGTGATGAGTCATCCCCTTATGCTGCCATGCTTGCATCCCAGGATGTTGCACAGAGATGCAAGGTACAAAAATACCTACTGAAACATTAATTGTCTGCTGTCAGTTGATACTTACTGTTTTGTTGCCCTGTACAGGAGCTTGGAATTACTGCTCTGCACATTAAGCTCCGTGCTACTGGTGGAAACAAGACAAAAACTCCTGGTCCTGGTGCTCAATCTGCGCTTAGAGCTCTTGCACGTTCTGGCATGAAGATTGGACGCATTGGTAATCTTATAGTCCCCATTAATTTCCTTGCACCATTGGCACCTTGGTGGTTATCTAGCATTTGTTATTATTAATTGTGTTTGACTATTTTTGTGGAAATTTATCCTAGAGTTGCTAACGGACTGCGCATTGTAATGCATGGGTTTTTTTGGTTATACTACTGTTTATAATTCAATTTCTTATACTATTGTTTGACATACATAGTATCTAGAATAGAATGGCTGTACATTTAATTTAGCCTTGTAACTAGTATGGTTGATGCTGAACCTGTGCTAGCTTTTTGTTGTTGAAAAGATGGCTTTGTTTACCTTTTATCTACTCGTTATGCTCAGTGCTTAGCTACTCAGTGTTAATCAGCCTCCTAAGTTATTTTTACAATTATTGTCAGGTTGAACTTACAACCATTTCCCTCACGATTTCTGTGAAGAATTAATCTTATTTCTGTTCTTAATTTGTGAAACAGAGGATGTTACTCCAGTCCCAACTGACAGTACCCGCAGAAAGGGTGGCAGAAGAGGAAGGAGGCTGTAATTCCGTGTAGTGCCTGTTATGGGGGGAAAGCAAAGCTATCTATCCTTGTCCTTGCAACTTGTTCTGTACTCTATTATGATCTTAGCATCGGATGTGGATTTATAAATTTTGAGCTATGTTATGTTCTTTAGAAGATGAATGACCTCCCCCTATAAAGCCGATTATCTAAATTTTGGTTGCTGTTATCACAACTAATGTTTATCAGATTGTGTTTTGTGTTGCTGTTGCCGTGATATGACCTGCTGTCCGTGTTCCCGTCGTTAAGTCTATTTTTGTATATCTTGAATCCGTTCTTAGCTCAATTTGGTTCAATCACTAATCACTAAGTTGCTTTGCAGTCACCTTCAGAATATTATCTTCTAATCTGTTTTCGTAGTCGACCTGCATATTTTGATCAGGAGAATCGGCTGAATGGTTTTGTATCGCCTCAATTTGTACGCCATGTTGGCTGAGGCACAGGGTTGAACAGCAGAATCTGAAGAACTGTACTACCTCCATTTTACAATTTAAGTTATTCTAGTATTTCCCACATTTATACTTGATGATGTTAACATCAATATGAATATGGGAAATGCAAGATTCATTAACATCAATATGAATGTGATAAATGCAAGAATGACTTACATTGTGAAACGGAGGAAGTATCTTTTTTGGAAGCTTCTTTTTTTTTTCTTTTTGTTGCTACGCGTCCAATACGGGTGTGTGTTTGGTTGCTTGCATCCTTCTAACCTGGCCCATCTTTCTCATCCAGGATGTGTTTGTCCAGCTCAAGAGGATACACGTGTGGGGCCCATCTCTCATCCAGGATGTGTTTGTCCATCTCAAGAGGATACACATGTGGGTGTTTGGTTGTTCGTATTGGATCAGCCTGGTTAGCAGGAGATTTTGGATGTGTTTGTCCATCTCAAGAGGATACACATGTGGGTGTTTGGTTGTTCGTATTGGATCAGCCTGGTTAGCAGGAGATTTTGTTTGGTTGGTTGCACAGGAGATACAGTATGATAGAGATTTTATTTGGTTGGATGCATGAAGGCTAAGTTTGGTTACCTCCTATTTTTTGGGTGAGATTACCCTAATGCAATTTATGAAATAAATATCTAACCGTTTAATATATAAGAAAATTTGTTCTATTTGTATCTGTTGAATACGCAAATAAGGAAAAGAATCGGTGAATATGCAAATAAGGAAAATGAATTGGTGAATTGATCCTCACACTATTGCTGACCAATTAAGTGAAGGAGAAAAATATCCCCTATTGCTGACCAATTAAGTGAGAAAAGAAACAAGGAAAGGAGAAAAGTATCCCGTAGATCTCATCGCCAGCCAACTACTCAGTGTGGTCCGCTCTGTAATTCCCCTCCACCGCCGCACCGCTCAGTGCTCGCGTCCCTAGCCACGCCAAGATCTGATCATCCGATGCTACGCAGGTTGCTGCCCCTCTCCTCGAATCGACACTCACCCTACCAGATCCAGTCATCCGGTGCTCCGGCAAGCCGGATTAGGAAGGACAGACGCAAGGAAGATGGCGAGGATAGGAGAAATATGAAGCCGGCGATGACAACAACGCTGCTCGAGCGTCCAGATCCGGCTAACACAACCAACTACTGGATCTGGCGGCGGAGTTTGGGGCCGACATGATGACGCCAAGCAGTGGTGAGAGGCTCCACCAGGCAAGCAGCTCCCTGAGGTGGTGATGGCGATGACGATGGAGATGATGGTGAACCCAGTGGCCTCGAGGACTAAATGTGAGTAGGAGGTGAGTGAATGCTTCAACCCCCCTGCCTCGGATCAGGATCCTCTGCAGTCAAAGTCACGTGACTTTGACATTGACATGTGGGTCCAATAATCTCTAAGTCCACATGTAAGTGACAAAGGCATTATGCATTCAACTGTAAAGAATCTCAATACCCCTACCTCATGCATCCGCGCGGACCGCGCATCCCCGCCTGCACCCGCGCGTGCCCGCATCTGCACGCATTCAGCCAGGATGGCGAGCGAAGCTTAAATCGAGCGTTTCCCTTGGGCCTAGCTGGGAAGGGAGATTTGCACGAGTGGAACCAGGCCTAGGAGGCCGTGCGGGATACCAAACACGTGCTCCTTGCACCAGCGGGTGCGAGCAAACCCATGTGCAGGCAACCAAACACGTCCTACGTGTATATGACAATACATACTCTCATGACAGACCACCGGATATTGTCAAACTCTGAAATTATAGTTGTATATTACACGACGAAAGGAAGAAGGAATGGAGGGAGATAGCCGTTGCCCATGGCATCACCACGAGCATGCGGTTCCAGCGAGGCATTGCACGCATCGTGCCAACCCTTTGCGGATTTGCCTCCCTTTGAACCAGGCAGTTGCAAAGCAGAAGGGCAGCACCACGCACCCACAGCACCGATGACCAATCACCATCGCCGGCCACTACCTCGCCGTGCTGAAAGCCTGAAACGGCTACCGAATCATTCGAATCATCGCCTCCACATTTGTTTCACCACCACCTACCTATCTACAGTGTCACCTTTGAGCTGGAAGCCACACGATCTCTTTGCAAACCGGCAAGCCGTCCCTCCTTTCACTTCCCTGCGATTCTGCGAATGCCCGCTACTTGAAACGATGCAAAGGTGGAAAAAATTACGTAGTACAAACCATACAATAGTATGTGAAAATCTAAAAACTATGAAAAATGAATTTCTGACTAAAGTTATATTTGTGAACGTGGATAAATCTCAAGCGTCCATTTTTACATTCTACGGTAGTTTCTAGTTACAGCAAGATAAAAAATAAACGCCTGATAAAATTTTACTCGTGATGAGGTGAACAAATATCATGTATTCATTTTTATATTTTAGGGTAGTTTCTAGATTTGCATTGTAATACATGATTTTTCTATTGCATAATTTCTCCTAAATTTGCGATGCATCGTCGCACCAATCGCACTAGGCGTCTGCATATTTCCTCGGCCGACGACTCATCATTGCACTTGCGCGATCTCCGTCGCCCGCCGGAGCCTGCTGCCTGCAGCGACGCAAGTGGCCGTCTGCTCCTGCTGCTGCCGCTGCGTAGACCATGACTCATCAACGAATCAGCTACCGAGTGGTACATTTGCTTGATCCGGTGTGTGTCCCCTCGGCCTGCAACCCTCCACTGCCCGGGGTTCCCACCTCTCCCGGCCGGCAATCTGATCGACCAAAAATGGTCAATGGATAGTGTGCACTCAGGCTCTCAGCTTGCATCACCGCGTGCTAGTGGCCTGTACTGTGGCCACACACAGGACCAGACTATGGTGAACTTGTCTCACTCTCTTGCATATACGCTGAACACGAGCAGATCGATCGCATCAGCCTACCGAATTATTTCTGCGGGTGTGTATGTGCATGCACTCTAGTGGGCCTCGGATGTGATATGGCTCTGTCAGATGCTATGATCGATCTGTGCCGGTCATGAGATGAGATCGGTCGAGCATGCATGTGCAGTTTCCGTCAATTATACCTCAAGTTGTTGTATATTGTACTACAGTGGATGGAGAAAGGAAGTTCAGTGATGTCCAGCTACGTACTAACACACAGATTGTGTGTTCATGCATGTTGCTTCCAACATTGTATACTTGCTTAATTTTTGCCCAGTATGCATGTATGTGCCGAACAATGACAACAATACTGCAGCTCCTCCCAAGTCTCGGTATAGTGATACAGATTAGTTGTGTAAAAACTAGCACTGCATGTACACTTAATTAAAATCTTGCACATAAGGCAAATGTAATGAATGAACTGCACGTAACCGGACACTTGCACGACGATGTGTGTACTTCTTTTTTTTTGACAGAGTGGTCAGTTAGGGACAGCCATATATAACAGGTGATGAAACTAGAGTATATGCATGGACCGAGCTTGTGGAATTAATATAGATCGAGCAAGACCGTAAAGGCCTCTATTTTTAGATAAATAATATATCTTGGTCGTACTCAGTGTTCATGGAAGACAGATCCACAACCCACCATTGGACTGTTTATTGCGATGTTCTCTTTTTAAAGTTTTGTGGCCTCGCTAGTAATCCACTTCGAGAGAAGCTGACTTGTAGGCAATACTGATTACTCCCTCCATAAAAAGAATGCATATAAGTTTTCTTACATGGTCTTCAAGACTTCAACATGGAGCTTTGATCATTAATTAATTTCACAGTATATTATGAATAACATGTCCATTATAAATAACTATATAAGCCATATGAATGGGACTAAATGTATCAGTTAAAAGTTAGAAGACCTTTTCAAATATATTTGTGCCTATATTTTTGGATGGAAAGAATATATAGTATGATGGCTGGTTACCAGTTAGTGTTGATTATAAACTACTCCATCCATTTCATATTATAAATAAGACGCTTTTGACTTTTTCTAAGCTTATAAAAAATAGTACCATTCTTAACACGAAACAAACACTATAAAAATGTATTCAATATTTATTTAGTTAATTGAACTAATTTGGTGTTATAGGGATCAGTTGCTACATGACTTTTAAAACTTGATTAGACCAATAGAAAAAAAATCAAAGCAACTTATAATATTAAACAGAGAAAATACTGAATTAATATGTGCGTCCCAATGTACTTTTTTCAAAAGAAAAGTAATCCACTCCGAGATTAGTTCAGCCCTCACAACCACGAACTGTATGTTGCCATTTGTATTGCACTTCACGCGCTGGCCATTTTTTTTAAAAAAAACCGTTGGCTTTCACAAGATAGATGTCTGATCAAATGACATCTTTTTTTCCTTATTGAAAGAACGTTATCTAATCTCATATCTTACCTTGCCCTGATCTTTTGGTATGGTTGTTAACTTTCAGTCGCACAATAGCCCATATACCTAACTATGTTGCAGTCAGGTGATCTCATGTTCACCTTTTGAGAAAAAGAACTAGAGTCCTTTGATGGAACTTGCCAGTGATCGATGATAAATTTATCTCTGTGTGTATTTTCAAACAGTCTATATACCCCCTTAATCTTTGAATGAAAGTCCTTTTAACACCACAAATTTTAAAACCGAACATCTTACCCTTTAAAATTTGAAATACTGATTATATTACCCCTACATTGATGTAGACAGTGATGGTGCGTATTTGGATGTTTAAATGAATGGTTTTAAATAACTAACATAACACATTTACACATTGTCAATCCTTGGTCCTTAATTTATGCTCTACAGTAAGATCATACGAGTATTATATTAGTATTTATTTG